GGCTGTGATTCAGTCCGAGGGGCTCCGCCGAGGTCACGGCCCTGGCCAGCAAACCTCGGCATGAGCCCTGGGGTGGGGAACCGGAGCCATCTGGCCCCTGGGCTGCCCTTTCCCAAGCACCAGTAGGAAGCTTTGTTCCAGCTCTTTCTCAATGGCCAACGTCGCCTTCCCCTTTGATGTCATTAAAGACAGAGTTGCACAACCAGTTCATGGAAAAGCTGGTGACCCATAAGAATAGCCCCAAACAGCCAGAGTGTTGCGTAAGGACAACGTTTGGCTGTTTCCTTCTTTTTGTTATTTATTTTTTATTAAAGCTCGAGAACACTGTAGCCTCAGCTGAAGGCACGAGTACCTTCCCAGACTGAGAGGACGCCTTCCCTGTGATTTCCCACAGCCGGACTGGGACTCTGCCACTGCAAACATCTCCCTGTGGTTGGGAAGTCGCGGCCGCGGGGCAGAGCTCTGCTGCAACGCCGCTGCCCCTCGAGGGCTCCGCTCTCGGGGCAGACCCACAGCAGAAGAGACCATGGAGGAGCCCAATTTATTTCCCTGCCTGAGCCTTCAGCAGGGAGAGAGCTTGGAGAACAACAGAGCCGCTTCTTAGGAGTTTCCATCCAGCTGAAGGGTCTTTAAAGTTTGTTCAACAGTGACAGAGTCCCTTTGAACTTGGTGTCCACAGAGGGGCCCACTGAAAACAAAAGCGTGTTCACTGGGACACGGTGTCTGAGATGGAAAACACTGCAAATACTGCAGGAAGTTAAAAAAAAATTTAAAAAATCCACCTAGGATGCCTTAAATCCCCCCCATTTTGACTGTGAGCATTTTGCAGGGCTGGTTCCCCTCTCAGTGGGGAAGTAGGTTTCTCATTTAGAAAGAGGAACCCAATGGGTGAAGTAGTGCCTGGCCACCAGCTCCTGCACACCCCTGCCCTACTGTTGCGCAGTCCCTGCCGGATGCTGCTCCGTGAACACCCAAAAGAACCGACTGCCTGGGACACTAAATACATAAAAACGAGCCAGGAAGAGCGATAATTGAAAGGGAGGTTTAGTACAAGGGCCAAGGGACTACTGTGGCACAGCCATCACTTGTAGAAAGACACGGCCACGGCTCCACGGTTGGACTCGATGAGCTTAAAGGTCTTTTCCAACCTCCACGATTCTACGATTCCACTGGCACGACCGCTCCGGCTGTATTCGCAGAATACTGTCACATGGAATAGATTCACGCGGTACCTCGTTTAACTGTACCTACTGTTTAGGAAAGCAAACTCATGGTCATTGTGGCAGTACGTGGCCTTTGTGGGACGGGTTGGGCTGTAACAGGCGTGACTGGTCACGGGCTCGAAAGAGCACAAGCAAACAGAGAAACAACAGAAAAAAATCCCACCTCCAGCGCTGGGAACAATGAGAACTTTTCTGTGAAGTCTCTGCTGCTCCCCTCGCCCTCTGGGCCATGTCTCATTTCATGTTTGAGGAAAACAAGCAGCAAGGAGGTCTTTCATGGGGATGTATTCTCTCTTTTCCATACCAAAAGCCAGTGGAACACAAAAAGCCTCGCAAGAGCAGCAGACAGTTTGCTGATCTGAGTTACAAGCTGTCGCGCTGGACAGCAGATGCTGCCAGCAGCAGTTTCACCCACTGGAGTGAAAAATCACTTTAGTTGTGTTTTCTTTATAAAACGAAGTTCAGTTTTGCCCCCTTACTCGTTATCTCCCTAACCTCCAGGAAAAAACATCACAACCTCTTTTAGCCATGTCGCCAAGCTCCGGTGGAGGAGAACTATCAGGGTCAATGAATCAGGGATAAAATAAATCAGGTTTTTGAAAGGTAAACTTCTAGATGTGAGCTGTGGCTGACCAAATTCAACATGTTTGTCATTCTGTGCTGGTACTTGGTTCAGTTTCTTCCCCTACCTCTATTGCCAGGGAGACGCTGGCGAGATCACCACGAAACATATGGTATCAATGCCAGAGCCAGCAGGTTAGTACAAGAGAAAAAAATCTTTAGCAGCAAGTGAAAATTCATCAAAATTCATAAAGAGCAAGCGAGTTTAAAGATTTAATTAAGATCAGTTAATTAATAAAAAAAAATATTTCTCAGTGTGACATCTCCTCCTTGAAACCAGTGTGAAAGGTTCACCAAGAGGATATTGTGTAGTGATGGTCTTCATCACTGATGACATCATTTACAGATGTGTCCAAACCAAGCAACCCCCGCACCTCTGGGAGATTTGGACCCATTTCTGAGCTCTCTGTGGACTGGGCTCGAGTGCTAATTTCTGTTGGTTTGAGGTGGCTGAGAGTTAAAATCCCAATCATTCTGCTGGTATATATTGGCACTGACAGCCCCTACGTTGAACCCAGGCCCTGCAGGAAACCGGCCCAAGACCGTGACAGCCAAAAAACTGCCGACCAAGCAGCAGGTGACAGACTGAGGTTCTCTCTCCATGAAACAGGTCCAGCATCAGCAGTGATTTCCCATCACTATCCTGACCCTGGCAAAACATCTCAGCCCTCAGCTGGAAGAGGATTCCAGAAATTGAGTTCAGGTTTTATGGTTCACGACCTTATTTATGCAAATGCCTCTCCGCAGGCACTGGATGTGAGATGCTCCAGTTCATTGCACATAGGTCCCTGAACAGTCACGCACTGGCCATAAAGTTTGGGTTCTTCTGCACTGTAGATATACCCAAATCTGCAGCTCTCCACAGGTTAACTCAGCCCCAGAAGAACTCAACGCTAACACACGTAAAGTGGCACCTGAGCTGGCTTGGGTACCTCTACACTGCGCTGCCGTGGAAGAAGCAACCTGATAGCGAAGGTTTTCAGCGTGATGATTGTCTCACCTACTCCTCCTGCACTGCCCCAAAGCAAAGACACGTGTGGTTGGTGAAGCAAGAGCAAAGGAGCTGCACACAGACACTCGTTGACACCGCCACGGTCATTGTCACGCACGCTGGAACAGAAGATGCCACCTGCTATAACACACACTCTTTTTTACTAAAGAACTTCTTAAAAGGACAAAGCATGAGCTAGTACCATTGGTGTCCTTAACGCCTCTTCATCCAAAGTAACTCTATGCTAAGAGGAGAACGTGGTAGAAAGCGTTAGCTCTTGGAGAATCCTGGCTTCCAAACAGCTTAGTTCACAAAAATATTGCGGAGAAAAAGTAGATCAACCACCCATTTGCACAAAGCACAAGCACAAAGATCTGTAACAGAGACTGAAGCAGCTCACTTGATTTCCAGCTGACGATCACCTTGAGCGCAGAGGCACAATGAGCAAATTGTTCAAGAACTGCAGTTTTGCTGAAAAGGTGATGCTGTTGACCAAATAAAGCAACATGTTCCTAAGAGGACAGTTTTGATTACTCGGGAACTAGAGGAATTTTGGGTGGGCTCAGGGGATGGGACTACACCACCCACAACAGCAAAACAAGAGATTTCACGTGTGGATCGTGGTTTATGCTCCGAGATCACTCCCTGAACAGGAGGGTGTTGGTGGGGGCATCTCACCACGCCAAACCTGATGCTGCAGTTTTGCACGAAGAAGGAACAGGCCCCCAGTCCCTGCTTCTTGGAGCAAAACAGACCATCTACAGTAGACTGAGATTAAAGCCAGGCTCCAGCCATCCCAGGACATGTCCCCCTTTCTACACCCCCAGACCCAACTGGTCCCATCTCCACTCCGCGTTCTAGAAGATACACAGCATAACGAAGGGCACGATGGCAGGCAACGCACAGACAGACCCCAGGGAACGAGCCAAGGGAATCCCACCCTTATTTTCTCTTTGCAAATGGTTTAGGGGCAAACATGAATCACACTGAGGGCAACAAGCGGGGTTTGGAGAGCATGATGTTGCTCATCTCGTGCTGGATGATAGTCTATCTACAGAAAAACATGGAGCAAGCAAGCCAAGGACTTGGCTTTCTGCTAACTGCAATTCCCTGGGTTTATCAGGAGGAACTCCACCCTCGGGCCTGCCCCTGCCCCAGTGCTAATTCACAGGGCTATGGGATGGCCCTGTGAGTCATATCTGCAAGGGTTCAAGGCCAGGCTGGACAAGGCTTTGAGCAACCTGGTGTAGTGGAAGGTGTCTCTGCCCATGGCAGGGGGGTTGGGACTAGGTGATCTTTGAGGTCCCTTCCAACCCAAACCATTCTGTGATTCTATGGGCATTCTGGTGAAGGGCATCCCGGAGGACTGGCTCAATAGCAGGGAGATGGCTTGGATCTGAGAGTTAAAAGCCAGGCAGTGGTAGGGGACCCCGAGTGCTCTTGTCAGGAACGCAGTGAAAGTCAGACGAGGCCTCCCCACGTCATTTCTCTGACACTAATTCTGCTCTGCCTTGTCTCACCTAAGTCACTGCCAGTGGACAGAACCCAAAGCGCCCAGCGGCACGTATTTTGGTGTGAGTTTGTGTGTGTGTGTGAGCCAACATCAGCCAACCTTTGCTGCCCAACCGCCCCTCCTTGACCAGGTAAGGCGGGTGGGCCAGGCTCAGGACCGCGCTGCGACAGTCCCAGCCCCTGACATGGGCACGTTCACACGCCTGGCAACACTCAAACCAGGCTCATGGGCAGATCCGCCATCGCCTGGGGGATCCCAGACCCGAACCACGTGAGCCTACACACAACTGAAGTACAGTATCACACACACACACACCGAGCCTGACCGGACTCGCTGCGGCCAGATGGGCAGGACCCCTCTGAAGCTGGGTCTTTCCTGCTTTCCTGCTG